ATTCCAGGAGTTGATGATCAAAGATAATATTTTCTGGGGAATCAAAGGCGGTGAGCTTCTTGTTTGGGAGGCGAAGGGAGAAGAACTTGTCAGGATATGACCTGAAGATATACTCGAAGTGTTCCCCCACTTCGTCACGTAGTCTCCGCAGACTCATGCATTTACTCAGATATTCCTCCCCAACATAGTCTATTCTGCTATCATGGTCGTACATGCTCAAATCAGCATTGGCAGCAGAGAAAATAGGATGAAAATTAGTGTTGTAATAAAGGTCAGGGTTAGGGGTAGTCTTGGCCCATGGCCTAACCCGGTTTAGCTCCCTGAGGAAAACGCATCCCAAGTTGACATCACTGAAGTCGGAGGTAAAACGCTCCCCATTCTTCTTCCTGATGAAACCCTTAACTCCTTGAAACAAAAGGGCTAACTCATCAACCTTAACCTGGTTGTTGTCATACCTTGCAAATATTGTGTTGCCCAGCAGTATCTAAGCAATTCTGAGGACAAGGTTTTTTATCAGTGTACCCTTAGTGGCACCATCCTTGTAAGGTCCACTGCCAATCAAAGCCCAAAAGTCAGCAGCTTCATGCAAGGTTGGAAAGTCATGCAAAGGGTCATCATTGAAATTGTAGGCTTTGCAGACTTCAGAGACAGAGAGAGTGTGTAGCTGTTCTTCAATCTTGAATGTGAGCCAGGCTTCACTTGGTTTCTTTTCTCTCGGTCTGGTGTAGCAAAATTCTTTCCATGGTGGCAAAGAATTTCTTCACAGCAGACTTGTAGTGAAATTCTTGGTAATTGAAGAAAAACCCTAGTCCCATATTTTTCAGTACCATCTCCAAATCTTCATAAAGCCCCAACTTCCGCATGAATCTGTGGTGGACAAGCTTAGAGGGGAGAACTTTAATTCGAGCAAGTCAGGAGTATTCGTGCTTCTCTTCGTCTATCCAAGCCCCTGGGATCTCAGATGGTGGTCCTCGGGCTCAACAGTGCTCTCTGGCTGGAGTTCTAGTTCCTTTTTCTTCCTGGTTCTTGGCCGGAGAGATTTATTCTTCTGGGCAGCCGGTGTTTTCCCACTTGCTTCTCCCGGTTCCTGCCTCGCCCTCTTCTTTGATGAAGAGCTTTTGGAATGCTTACTCCTAGCTGCTTCAATCTGTTTGATTTACGCTTGTCGGTCATTTTCTCGACCTAATATCGCCTGAGAGAACAAAAGAGTGCTTTAATCTGGGTTATACACCCGGAAATCTGAATAATGTAGATCGTGAATGCCTCGAAGTGATATAAATCAAAACCTTTTATGTGTTTCAGAAAATTCGAAGTTACGAGCTGTGGGATCTCTTTAGTGTACGAATGGGAAGAGAGGAGAAAGGGTAAGAAAAGGTGGATTTTCCAGTGGGTGAGACCATAAAATCACACCAGGAAAGTGGTACGAGACAACCGAAATAAACCAGAGCAAAATTAATGAAACCAAGAGTGGAAGATAAAACCCGGTTTAGCTGATGGGCTTGTGCAATGGGCCGGTCCTTCTTGATATGCATCAGTATTGATTTAGCAAGTCATTGTTACACACCGACTCCGTACTCTCGCCTCAGTCACGTGTTGATTAGAGCAGTTTATCGGTTAAAGCCGATAAATGATGCCAGATCAAATTCTTCTTCTACCATTTTTCCCTCTTAGCCTCTCAGCCATTAAACTCGTCAATACGTGTTGCTGGATCACACATAAAAGAGACATTGTGG